GATCATGACAGCCACAGGCAAACCCCCATCTCTCAGATTCTCTCATTTGGCCCTGCAGAAAAGAAGGAAGCAAAATTGTTGTCCCTCAAACCAGTACACAGTATAAGCTGCTGTCTGCCCTCAGGAACAAGCCCCATATTTCACGCCAGCGTGCCCAATATAGATGTTGATAACAGAGCTGGCAGTACACTAGAAAAAACAATTCTACAAGTCCTTTCTGTCTCTGCTTTCAAAACACCCTCTGAATCCCTGCATTGGAGCTTGTGACTGTTCACAGCAGAAACTGTCAAGACAGACAAAACCTGAAAGCTCTTGCAGTGAGCCTGTGTGCGGGTACATCTTCACCAGTGGGTGGGGAGGGGTGACTTGCAACAACCCCACTTTTTTGTGTGATGTCTAACTTTTCCGATTTGTCAGGGAACTAAATTCATGCCTCCGCTCAACTGCAGTCACTGCTCTGCGTACAGAAACACGGATTGGATTTTCCCAGCTCTGGTGGAACCTGTCATGCTGAGCGCCGTGGCGCAGGAACACCTGAATAGCTTTGCATAGTACAAAGCCACACTGACAGAGCCGGTACGGATACAGGCTAACGAGGCCCGCCATAGCCAGCCTGGCTCTGTGCAGAGCCAGTTACGTGCTTCTGTACCACGCTCCCTGCTTTAGGAGCACAGCAGAAAGACATTTGATCCGACTCTGCCTGGAGCTGACTTGGGTACGCAGGGCTCATTAGCTTCGGCTTCACGCTGCGTGGGCCAGGCTAAACTGTTTTCAGGTCTGGGCTGGCCTGAAAGCCAACACAGTCAAGGTCACCTGGTGTGTATGTGTAAAGAGCAGGGTCAATGCCCAGCCCCACTCCCTACCTAAACTGACCATGAATAATGCAACTTGGCTACATTCCACAAAATCATAGAATGGTTTGCATTGGAAAGGACCTTTAGAGGTCATCAAGACTCTGCAGTGAGAGGAACATCTTTTAACTAGATCAGCTTGCTCAGAGCCTTGTCCAACTTGACCTTGAATGTTTCCAGGGATGGGGCTTCAACCACCTCTCTGGGCTACCTAATCCTTCTACAGAGATTCCCAAATTCATCTGATTAAATCATAATTTCTAGGGAAAAGCAATAGAATCATAGAATAAAGATCTGATATCCAAGAACACCTCTGCAGAGTCCAAGATTATTGCAAGCTTTACTGCACTCCTCCTAACAGAACTCCTGAGATTACAAAGGACCAGTACATTTGCTGGGCAGCGAGGGGCCTTAAGCTCACAGAACTAGTTTTGGATTTGTGCCCAGGTCCCCCCAAACTGAATAACTTGGTACTAAATGACTTTCAAAATCCTTACCTTTAGTATCATATACAAAGTCATGAAGGGAGCATGAAGCCTGACCTATATACTGTGCATCAGAGAGAGGCAGTCAATCTGTTGTTCCAGCTGAACAACAAAATGTCAGTACCATAAGTCATTTTATTGCAACCAGCTTTTAGTTATGCTACCATTTGAGAAAAGTATTATTTACACTTTTATTATCAATACATACATATTGATATGCCGATTTGAATGATATATGTTGCTATATAAGTGCAAATGTTTTTAAAATGTTAATGACTTGAGCGTCCCGATTGTTGTAGGCATGAGTCAAATTAAATACATGCATATACAGGGAAGGTCATCCCTGCTAGGCATGTGCACAAGTTTAAGCTCGTAATTATGTCCTTTGCCAAGAGAAAGATCTAAAAAGATCAATTTAAGTTACTGAAGTATCCTATGTATAGCTTGAAAAGAAAGAAAAGCTAAGATCAGTAATTGAATAGGATTCTGCACATTCAAAATCAAGAGTTAGAAGAAAATTCCTGCCTGTTTTTCTCAGGAACCTGAAAATTGTTTAGAGAAGGTAGTTTTTTTTCAATGAACTTTATTCTCTTATCTTTAAGTTTTTTTTAAGATTCTGGTTATAAATATAGCTTTTCCTAGTGCGATTCATAAAAATGAAATCTCTGAATTCTGAATTTAAGTGTGGCCTTTTTGGGTTCACATAAACTTTTTTTTTTTAAAGATAATGACTGTTCAGAAAACAAGTTTGTTTTAAATGCTTAACTTCAAACTTCACAAAATTGCTGGCTCAAGAATATCGAACCTCCTGAAATGAGTAATCTGAGTATACAAAATTGAGTAATCTCAGAGTGAACAATCTAATTCTCAAGGGGAGGCACTCTTTGCAGCTGTATTTTAAGCTCACAACGTTCCTACTATAACAAAAAAATCCTCAACCCCTCAAACAAACAATAAAAAACCCCCAACCCAAAGGAAATGATAAAGCAGTTCTAATCCCATGTTTCCCCACTACTGTAAAGTCTAACTTTGTTTCCAGTACTGGACTCTGATGCAGTTTTTTATTATTATTTCATTCTTGCCTCCACTAAATACGTTTTAGTGGCAGGGATTTTTTTCACCATAATTCTTTTTGCTGCCAAAATTTTCTGGCACAAAAATCACAGAGACAGGGGGTAATGCTGTTTTAAGGCTTGCAACAGCTGCTGTGTTGAAAAGCTATTTTTATTTTAATAAAAGAAGTGCACTGTATATTTATGTGTGTTAAAACTTCTCAGAAAATTCTGTTCTAGAGGTTTAAATAGTCTGAAGTGCAGAAGTGAGACACTCGGAAAATCTGGCAGGTAGACAAGGAAATCTACATGACACATTCTTTCTATGAACTTTACCAAGGCTGTATAAGAACCTGCTTCTGCTTTACCACATATACATAGTTCAGTGTAAATTCCAGCATGCAGGAAAAGAATGAGAGTCAACTTGGGCAAAAGACAGAATGGCTAAACTCAAGACAGCTGTACCATATATGAAGAATAACCTTCTCTTTACGTATAGGACTGTGCATAATCTGTGTGAAATTCATAAAAGTACTTACAGCCTGAAGGAACCAGAAAGACAGAAGGACACTGTCAGTTCCCCCCCATGAGTGTCTGTCTTCATAATCTCCCTCCTCCAGCAAGTACTGACGGCCTTTGTAGCGCTCCTTATCATAGGCAACCCATCTACAGCAACCACACAAAAGGAAAATAGCTCACAAGCAAAACAACTGCACACATGACTTTTCGTAACAAAGAAAAGGGGAAGAGAACATCCTAAGAACACTAAAACAAGCATCGCAGGCTCGGCTCACAAACAAAGCGATGCTTGTCTGAAATCACAACAGGCATCCACCAAACGTTCTTTGTGGATCAAAATCCCACCATATGACTCCTTCTCCGACAAGGGTTTATTTGTGTAACGCTTCTCCACGTACCTCCTCTCAGTCAGCCATATTCCCAACAATATTTGATGCTATAGAGGCTAGTATGCATCTAGTGGCCAAAACACTGTAAGCCACCAACTATCAATGATAAAAACCAAGCAGTAAATCTCTTCAGTGGGTTAATAAACAACGAGATTCTGCCCTTGCTGGTGATAGTGACAAAATTAATGGATTTAAGCAGAACAAACCTGCACCACTTACATTGTTTCCTGCTCTAACCTAGAAATATATACATGAATAGACAAGTGAATTGAGTGTATACAATATACTACATGGATAATATGGTTTAGCAGTAACAGAATAAAAATTTTAAATAATTTTGAACAAATATATAAAGCTCGACTGAAAGAAAGCATTTCCACATCAACTTTGAAAGCTCTAATGGATCTTAATTTGAAAAAGTGCTTCCCCATCCTTCTGTCTTGCAAGAATTTCTTGTGTTAAAGAATGTATTAGAACTGCTGTAGAAAATCTGTCAGCACTGAAATCTGGCAGGCAGGATAGTTTTACTCTTATTCCCATTGGTTTTTCATTAATTCAGTTGTTTAAGTTACTGCCGTATTAAAAATAAAAGCCACCACAACAGACAGTAGGATGATTTTTAATAATATGAGGCTTCCCAGATAGCAAATAAAAATGTATTTATGAATAGATTATTCGAGCATTCACATTTAAGTTTATTTTTAATTTAGTGCTTGTAAGATTCTGACAACAGCCTGAAAGGATGCATGTTACTCAATCTTTACGCGTAAGTATTAACACTGAAAACCCCTCAGAAAAAGATAAAAGTTTCTATTTTGTTGCTTGCTCTTTAGCAGAAGCAACCGCCCTGCATGCTTTCAAACAGTCCTCTCCTGTTGGGTCTTGGGAGAGGCTGAAAGAACAACGCGTGGGGTTGCTAACTCTTTAGAATTGCTGGCGCTGAGCCTACCTCATGAGCTGTCTACCTAAGGACTGTGCTGCACAGCCCTTTTTTTTTTTTTGTGTGTGTGTGTGTGTGTATGACAGAGAGCAGGGCAGGGCAACGCAGAATCAATCCAAGGCCTCAGTGGAGAAAATTAAGGGTAGATTCTTAATTCCAGATAACATGCAACAGGTGGCAAAGGAAAACCATTAAGACAATAGAGCAGTTTATAGGTTTCAGAGGCACTTAAGGTCATTTCAGTAAATTAAGTAGAGACTATCTGAAGTATGAAGCAATATGAATTAAAGCTCTGTGTAAATGTTGTCATTAAGGAAAGAAGTGGCCACGTTTATTGGCATCCAAACAGTAAACACTGACTTGACGCCTTTCACATACGTGTTTTTATCTTCCCATGTTCTCTTAGATAGATAAGCCATATGGAGAAGTGGTTTTATCCAAGGCTGATAACTGACAACATAAATATATATTGCTTTCTTCTCAAAATATTTTACCAGTGAGAGATTCTAATCAACTCTTAGTTAGGACTTTTTAGCATTTTGTTATGATTTCCTATTTTAAAATAAATAGAAGTGAAATATACTTACACTCCACCAATTACCCGTATTGATCCAATTTCCTGAAACTCCTCTTCACTAACAAACAGAGCTGGGACAGAACTGATGTTTTCTGAAAACTCTTTGGACCACCCTTCAAAGTGAGTTTTCTCATATATTATTATCTGGAAAAAATGATGTTGAAATAATGCCTTGAGTATGCCCTGAATAGTAATTTGAAGTTTGGGCATGTGTAATGCTACAGTACATGGAATACACCTTTTTTTCCCCTTCCAACAAGCCATCACTATGAAGAAAATTCAGTGTTGCATTCCTCAGCCCTTCTGATTCTCGAGTGCCCTAGAAGCTGAAAAGATCCTACCTGGATTTAGATAGGCTTGTCAGGGTATTTGCAGACACTTCCACAGAAGGACACTTACTCATACAATTCTATATAGACAGACACACTATGCAGCCATATGACTCTGATTTATCCTGTAATCCTGTGCCTGGACAGTGCGTATTATCCTGCAGTGAATCCTACCAGGTTACAGCTAAACACACTAAGTTTAATTCTTCAAGAGTAGACATGAGGTCTTTTTCTGTATTTTGCTGAATTTATTTCCATGACTGCAATTAACAGCCTCTTAAGGTTCCTCATCAGGCAAATCACACAGATCAGCTATTACTAGTATTAATATTTCTTGCAAGATTTATTAGGAAAATGCCTGAATCTTGCATGTGTTTGTATAATTAAAAGTTACCTACAGCATTAGCATTTTTGTGGAGAAAAAGGAGGGAAAAGGAGCAATAACTCTGGAATAGACTTGTGTTCCTCAAACCACAGAAGGATCATGGTGTCACTCATGACTCCTGCATTGGAATCGGGTACAGGTAGGAAGGGTCCTATTCCTACCCCTTTCCTCCTGTCACTCCTCTTTTTTTAAAACTTGGTACATTAAATTGGAAAATGGCTCCTGATCCCTTTTCATTACAGTGACTGATGGGTCAGTCAGGAAAACTCTTTTGTAAAAGCTCTACAATTCCTTAAAATTCACGTTGTCCTAATACAAAAAAAGAACTACTACTTTCACATCTCATGAAATACTAGTAAGAAAGCTGACTTCACAGCATTAGTGAATTTTTCTTAAGCGGCAAACACTGAATATTTAATCAAATGTCACAAACTGAACTAAAAGAAAACAGCTTAAATAAAGGTTTTATATTTCCAGTGTGCTCATATTTTATTCTCAATGTTATCAGTGCTTACCTTGACATCCATTGGCATTTGTACCTTTAGTCCACCCTGAAAATAGATGGCGAAAACAAAAATGTAGTTATCAAAAACTTAGAAGTTATGCTTTGACACATATTTTACAGTACTATCAGAGCTTGAAGTCTTTGTAATTCTATTCACTATTTTCAGTGTTGGTGAAATCAAACACTAGTTTAAATACTCTGATAATTCATAAAGGCCAGGGACACTATAAATCTAATCTACAACCAGATCAGCGCGTTGACAAGGCTGTAGGGGTACAAGCAATTAAAAAATATTCTTTCATTGTCTATTAGCAATCTAAAGCATATTTACTGTGTGTTTTAAACCTAATTTATATTGACCAATTTTTAAGATTAACTTTAAAAGCTTTGTGGTACACATTTCAAGTTTCTTAAGCACAAATGGTGGCACTACTAAGAAACTATAAACGTCAGAAAAGAGAAAATACAGGCTGACATATTCATGTCTATGGCCAAAGAGCAAATACAACATTTTCTCTTGAAATGTCAGTGAATAACATTCTGTAGGGTGTAAGACACCCACCTCCCATGAGAAACCAAGAAGACAGCAGTTAGGTCTTACTCCTTTGTGGCTCTTAAATTCTCTTTCTGTAGGCTTGCTGGGTATACAGTAGAATTGCGTGTCATACCCTTCCACATCTCTTTCCCATTTAGATCTATGTGCTGTCTATCAAACATTCACTGCACCTCCCAAGATTTTCATGCAGTGTGTGGTGACAGGAGTACTACTGGCTAATAAACTCCTCACCTGGTCTTCCACCCCTAACAGATTCTAGCTGTACTATTAAAAGACAATCAACAGCTTCCAAAGAGCTCTTTTAGTTTACGAATTGGTACTGGCTGCAGCTACCCAGGAAGATGCTTTAGTGAATTAGGTGCTTCACTCTGACTATGTGGTCTTGCTGGCAGACGCAGAAGCCCAGAAAGCCACGGCGATCGCCGTGCCATGACAGCACTGCAGACGCACTTTCGCATCAGATGAGTGTTACATGTATAAGGAATAAGCCTGAAAAGACATTAGAACCTAAGTTCTTTTTTGATCAGAACCTTCAGGGGAGCAACAACAGGAAGACGCACTACTTATTAAGGAATTGTGAAGTTCTCACCATTTTTAAGGGACGCAGAGATTTTACATCTGCTGAAGGAATTTCAGATGGTGAATCACATTCTTCCAAAACCTTCATCTCTCCTTTGTAATTATAGTTCGAATAAGCAAGCCATCTATAACAATAAGGATAAAGGACTTATTAATCCCATTAGATAGATCACAAAGATCTTATTAGAATTATTTTCCTTTTTGTAGTCACAAGAGCTAGACAACATGTTTTAGATACGGCCAGCACATCAAAATGAAGCTATATTTAAACACACTGGCAACATCAATACTAAGATCTCTGATATTTTTTCTCAGTCCAAGCTAAGCACAGATGAAAGAAAAGAAAATTACCAATTTGTTCACCTACTTTAAGAAGCCAGCTTGTTACACTATGGGTATACAAAACCAATGTCAGTACTGAGGATGAGACACTTGCATCAAATTTTATCCAGGATTGTCACCTTAGGAATTAGAAGGTTTCTAACACAAATTCCACTTCATTTTTTCCAGTGGAAGTTATTAAAATAAGAAAATTTACAATAGTCCTTTGGAGACTAGGCTATCATATAATATCGACACGAAGACTAAAAGTGCTGAGACTCCTTCAGACTGTTTTAAATCAAAAAGATAGCTGAATGTAGAAGTTGGACACAGGGTTAGTAGACCAAATAAGGAACGAAGAGGCATTGACCCCTATGGAAAATTATTCTCTTAAAAGTACACACACAGACCGTAACACAGTTAGAAGTTAAACTAAGTTCTATCAAAACTAAGACAAGACTGTTTTTACTTCTTGTACCACCTCAAGCTTCACAGACATACTGTGAGATTGTGGGAGAAGGAAGGCTTGGCCCGTGTGGAAAGGCAAACTCAAGACTTTTGTAACAGAACAGCTAATGTCATTCTGCATTAATTTATGAGAAGAGGCACGAAACTCTCAAACGTCAGGAACTGTGAAATGTTGGCCATTTACCCGGGAAATAGACTCTTCTGCTCAGGAAATGCTGAGCTACCAAGGGACCAGTATCATATTGCACCACTTCTCTTCAAAAAGTTAGGCTATGGCTGCAGCTTGAGAAATGCTTTGATGACGTAACATTCATTTTCTGGTATTCAGCCATAGTGTTATAGTTATAACAGGGTGGGTGACTAGGGAGACAGTATCTACTCTCCAATGAACTAAAAGCTAATTATAGTTGAGCTCTTTCTTCTATTTATAAGGCTACTCAAGGATGGAATTATAGAATACTTCTGCCAACAATTAGAGGAAAAATGCCTTCAAAAATCTGGTTCCTCTACTAGGAGCCCACGTAGCAAAATGCTGAAGGGTAGAGTCAGAAATATCTACTGTATGTTACCTGATTTGTAGCAGAACTCCCCAAAGATTGTTCCTATCGCTGACTGTTACTTCTCTACCTGCTGGCAAAATGCTGCTGAAAAAAGTTCAGTACTCACACTCCTGATTTAACTTTTATATAAGGGTTTTTCTCAACATCCAGTTCTTCTAAATTGGCAACTGCACTCTGTATGCAGATAGGAAGTCCCTCTGTACCACCAGCTGCCAGGCAGAACTCCACCTCCGGAACGCCACAGTCCTGTGGAAACATCAAAGGGTCAGGCTTATCCATGCTTGTAGAGTCTGCCCCATCGCAGCAGGGGAAGGACCAGTAACATTTTGTTCTTCTTTCTATCATTTCATCCTTCTAACTTAGCTCCAGGCTTCCTATGATGGAATGGTTTTAGTTTGCCTTTTTTTTTTTTAAATATATATATATGAAGACTGGAACTTTTAGAAAGCTAAGGGAAGTAACTTCCCAGCTCCCACTAACTTTCAAAGAAGAACCACGCATTTATGCATGTTGGGCTACTTTCAAAAAAGCTCAGCTTTAAATACTGTCCAAGTAAAGGATCTGACAGTATTTATGGAGAGAAAAACCATGCACGTAAGACTGCTGATTTTGTTTAAGACAGTGCTTCCATAACATACATATAGATAAATATGATGCATGCATAACTACAACTTTATAGAAAAGCCTGCTACATTCCCACTTCCCTCCCTCAGTGATAATTAGGTTCCGTAACGCAGCCAGCTATGGTTTCAAGCCATACTGAGTTTAAGTTTTTGTCATGCTAAATAAACTTAGAGCATTTGGGACAAAGAAGGAAAAAGATCAGTACTAGAAAATGTTTGTTTTGTTAAGTAATCACTTCAGCAATTTTCCTGTTACTACAGAGCAACAACTGCTGTTACCTAATTGAAAGGTTTCTGATAGACACCATGCTGGAGAACAACTTACTGAACACATGATCTTCTCTAGAATCTGCAGGGATTTCAGTGAGCCACGCTCATTTTGTAATATTTATATAAAATGCATTGCCAATACTTTCCTCCCCAGCATTCGAACACATCATGAATCAAGGAGAATCTTTTATGATGCCCTGCTTCAGCACTGCACTACAGGGACCTTACTGTAGAGCGAAAGGCAGCTCATGTCCCCACAGTTTGCTCAGCTGGAAACCTTCAGTTCTCATTGGAAACTTCACAGCACCCTTCCCCTTATCCTCCTGACCCGCAGACCCATTTGCATTAGGCCAAAGAGGATAAAGAGACCCCCAAAGTCCTAAACATGGCTGGAGGAAAACATCCCTCGCATGTGCACTACAGAAGAGGGATGAGAAGCTGTCCCTGAGGGTGTCCTTGGAGAAGCACCTGGTTACTGGACTTGTGGAAGACTGAGGCAGGAGCACATCGTGACAGAGATCCCACATGGCCTGTGGCTTCTGCCAGATCTGAAAGGCTAAACACAAGAGCTTGCAGAGAAACCCAGCAATAGGGCACAAAAGCTCTTGCAGCACCTCATCACATGACACCCCCTGTGTACTCTCTTTTGTCACATAGGTTTTGAGTGAAGCTTTTAAACAATGGAGCAACATTCCACCTAGAAATACGCCTCTTGGTTAGCAAAGTTCTTCCAGTAGTTATTTAACTGTCAGCATTAAATGTGGCAATTATAATAGATGGACTTCAGGATATTATTTCACTTTCCTCATGAGACCTGAAGTAATACAGTATACTGTTCTGGCAGATCTCCCTCATGCACAATCATGCTTCCTCTGTATTGTACCTTGCAAACAATGCATACTATTTGCTTTTAGAACAAAAACTGCAATACCATAATACTTCTTTTCAGATGAGCAAAACCAGAAAAAAAGAAAAAAGACTTTCTATTATGATGCTACTTAATAGCAAAGTGCTAATGTACACCATTCCTTGATTCTGTGTGCTCAACAACTTTAAAAAAAAATAAAATCTCCCCATAGTTTTCCCATGCATATGCACAGTTAAGAAATATTTGAAGTTCCTGGGTGTTTTTTTTTAATAATACCCGATACATGTAAGACTGAAATCTATGATTCCAACAAGAAAGCTTGATATGGAAAATCAGAAGTTGCACCTGTAAGAATTCCACAAATAGTGATGCTAGACTCTTAATGGTTTCAGATAAATTCTGAAACAAAGTACCTGCAAGACTAGACAAGTGGCAAAATAAACTATCTTTGCCTGTGGGCTCAGACAGAATATGAGACAGAGTATGTTTACTTTTAATTCAGTAGGAGGTTAGGTGTTTTTTTTTTCCATTTGAAGATTGGAAAAATCTCGTCTGTGTTCTCTTTTTAAGTCTGCTCTCCTGACTCTGAAGCTCACGAGACAGGTTCCACCTCAAGAGACGAAGAACGTAGAATTTCTCCAAAGGGTAGGCAAAGCTCAAACACTCATAATAAAATCTCTCCTATTTACCACCATCTCTCTCCAGCCAGACTGTGACAGTCATAAAAAAACCCTCTACTCATTGTGATGTTATTTTTGTGTGTACTAGATTAATACACAAAGTCCTTTCATAAAGTGTCACACAGTAAATGGAGATCTTCATCAAAAGCAATTCAACTATCTATTTTTAAAGGTAATAACATGTCTGAGCAAGAAGTACATTACTTTTTTGGAGTAAATATAAAGTCACAAATACACATTTACTTCTACACTGAGTTCGATTTACATACATTAATTCATAGGCTGCAGAAACGGTAAAATTTAGTATTTCAGTATGAGGTGATCACTGTGTATCTGCAGATGGTCGCTCAAGTACTATGCCATTAATTTATACAATTTAAGCATCTAAACTTTAGCTTGCTAAACATTTGCCCTAGCATGTTCATATTTGCCTGAGCACATTTAATAGGCATCATTACTTTCAGAGGCTTCTTTAACATTCCCAATAAAGCCACCATCTTTAGAAACCAAATGAAAACCACACAAATATGATAGCATTCAGGTTGAGAACTAGATCCTTCAGTCCAAAGCCCTTTCATTTGCAAGGCGTCAAGATTTTGAAACCAGATACCCACATGCAAAGCTATTACCATGCGAAACCATTACCACAGCATTTCAGGCCAGATCCCACACTGGTAAGCTTTCTCCCTATACAACTCCCGCCGGCCCTGCCACCCCCATCACAAGCAGTCAAAACTCATGTCATATTCATGATCCTACTGACACGTCAGGCAAAAAAAGAATAAAAAGCACAGCAAACAGATTAGGTAGCTGCGTTCATTGCCAACGACAACACGCAACCAGCAAATGCTTAGGTAGGGCACACCCTCCAGGCATCCTACTCTGTCTTCCTCTGCGGTCCTCTCCTCCTACCTCCAGACAGTCATCCCAGAGTGCCCGTGCCTCCCTCATGGTCTTTTGGGAGAAGAGGTATTTACAAAAGCATGGGGAACATTCAAGCCAGCTCACAGACACTTCTCAAACAGTAGCACAGCCCTCAGCAGAAAGGTTATAGGCTTCTTCTGAAGAGGATTGAGATGACCCTCAAGACTTTAGCATGAAATACTATTCTTTGGTGTCATCTCTGACTATTTTCTAGTCCAACTAAGAGCTCCACCAGAACTGAGACACCTAGAGCCTTCATGCCCCACCAGGTGGTCTTGGCTGCTTACCCTTCTTCCAGATCGAGGGTTACAGCCCTAACAGCACTCGCAGGGCTAAATAATTTCAGCACTGTTAAGTCCTGTCCTTGGACGTGTAAGCTGTGGTGACTGAAGTGATCAAAATAGCTTATTTAAATGAGGTAGTCTTTTATGTCAACAACAGGACAAAGAATGACTAAAGTCTGGCTGCTTTAGCTAGATGCCAAAACAATGATGAGAGAAGAGTCTATTGAAAACCAGGCCTAATTAGTTCTGGTATTCACACGATTGCTTTTTAATACAGTCTAGACACGCATCTTACTTTTGATACACAGTCTGTCCTTAGGATGCAGCTTCTGCAGCACTTTTTATTTTAAATCTTACTCTCTGTTGGTCCTCCAGCCTTTTTTTACCCATTCATAATTCTTTCTCCTAGTTCTCCTCCTCTGTACCACTCTTGTTACCCCTCATCACCACCAAACCAAACTACAGAACTCAACAGGACTGGTAGTAAAATAAAATAATGTTAAGGAAATTAACAGTTACTGTCCTGTAAAGACCAACTAGCAAATAAGACAATGTGAAGCTGCTGGGTGTCTTCCCGTAGCACCTGACAAAATAGTTCCTGTTTGAATTAGTAACTTCTTTTCACCTAGCAAACCACACAAACAAAAGAAATGAACCCTTCATGTGACACTGTGAACATTTCCATTACAGAGAGGTTTGCTTAAGGAGAGTCCACAAGGAATCCAGCTGTGCCCTGCCTAACCGTCTTGCAGGCAGTGATTATAAACTGCTGTTTCAGATCTCACATCACTTTGCAAAATACCAGTTTACAAGATTACTCTAGAATGGAAACATTGGCAACACTTCTCAGCTCTTGTTTTTGGGAAAGTAACATTTAGCACTCTCTTTGGGCTTCCAGAAAGACAGAGGAAAAGCCCTCTGATTCCGTAAGGTCAGTAAATGCATTTGTAGCAGACCAGAGAACCCACCTGGATCAAGAGACTGTGCTTCAGGAGCCGCACTGAACCTGCATGTGCAGGCAGATTTTGTTAGCCTAGGCTCATGTTGACTTGCCTTAGTGCAATTCAGGTTCCCCATTACTTCCAATAGGTCTTTGTTTTACTAGCTGCACAATCTGTTCATTGGGATCTTTTTCCCCTTCCCAATTTCCTCCAAATTAAATACACACGGATATATCTAATGAGAATCCATAGTAAGTCGAGCCACAAGCTAACCACAAAGCTAAAAGAAACTTTGCTTTTTGTGGAGGCTTGAAGCCAAATCAGAGCACAAAGCTACTGGCAGACTGTTTCTCAGCAAACTAACATTTGCCAGTAAAAAATTAAAATAATATTAAATGCATCTCCTACAGTTTCTTCAGTAAACATCTATTTTTTTTCTTCTTCTTGGCAAGCCATTTTCTTCTCAAATATTTAGCCAATTTTCAAACCTGCTAGCTCAAGGCTTCTAAGCAGCCATTAAACAAGCATCATAAAAAGCCACTTGAAGAATCAGAAGACAAGCCACACAGCCTGGACGCATGGCCAGTATGACCAAACTAGGCAGGAGAAAAGACACTAAGCTACACAGCTTGCAAAAAAGAGAATGACACTAAAACCCTGTAATCCTGCAGATGACGTACACACAAGCTGCCTGAAAAAGAAGCAGCTATTTATCATTTAAAAACAATGCCTATATTTTTTTTCACCAAATAAATAAATAAGGTAGCACTTCGGCAAACTACCTTCTAAAAGTAGTTCCACGGTGGCTGAAGTACAACCTAAAAAAGAGGAATGCTTTCATGAATCAAGGTTTAGAGGATAAAACCTGAGGTTCATATCCACACTAGTTCCACAGCCCTATGGACTAAGAGCAAAAGTCCTCCCAACCAACCATATCTGCTCCAGGTTTAAGTTACATGAGAAACACTGTTCGTCACTGAACTAGCGTACTGTAACAAAGCTTGCCATCTGTGTTCCATACAAATGAACCACACACTGGAAGAAGAACAGTGCTTGAACCTACTTCACCATATTACAAAGATTTTAATCAAGCATGATGACGCTAACCAGTGTCTTTCTTATTCAAGGGCTTTCTTTGATAGCCAAGACACACCCAGCTTCCCTTGGTGTCAGACCATAGTTCCACATGTTATCGTGGTATTTCTTTAATTATTGAGCTGCCTTTCACATTATTAATCAAAATTCATGTGCCTTATTGGTCAAATTGTTTGCCTCAGATAAATGTTAACTTCCTTATTTATGCCCTCAGCCAGTCTGTTTTGAATTTATTTATTGTTAAGCCTTCAAGAGAATGAAAAAGTATTTCCGTTATGACATTATGCCCCTCTATTGATGACAAAAGGTTATCAGTTTTGAAATGACCTCTATACCAGCAGAGAACAGAGAAACATCACTTTTTCTGAAAAACTTTCACATTGCAATACAAATGGTAATTCACTTGCAGTAAAGGGCTATTGCCCTCTGAATAACTGGAATGTTATGCTATATAAGAGCACTAAGTCTTCCTAAATTACAAGATCTTGTAAATATATTCCTCATTCACTGACTAACAAGGGATGCATTATATTTAGTTTTAGGCATTTGATTCCTATCTTTTCAACAAAATGCCTTTTAAACTTCTGGCTGCATGCTGAGCACGCTGTAGGTGTATCACTTGTCCATGTGGAAATCCTATAGATAGCACAAAGATGTGGAGGGAGCAACAGTAATTTTTGGAGGCTATATTGTACAAATACTATCAGAAACCCAGCTACTAATTTCTGAAACAGAAGCCATACAGACACAGTAGATAGTTTAAGCTTAAGATAAACAACTTCTTTTGAAAAATATCAATTGATTCCATTTAATTTCAATTAACTGGATCAGTAAACATCTAAAAGGAGGAGAGTCACTATGTCAAGTGAAGGTGGTGGCAAAGAAAGAAAATCCATCTGCACATTAACTTCAAGAAGAAAGGGAAATGTAGCACATAGAATTTATCTTGAAGGTGAAAAATGTGATACAGGGCAAATTTGAATCAAGTTCCTAAATGGAGCATGCACACATTGTCCATTGCTAGTAATACACCACTATTGCCAACATAAATTAGTTATGTATGCGAGTATATGATTAACAACGTCTATACCTTTGTTACATGTTTGATTGAACCAACTGTGAGGTTTCCTCGTTGATGTTTTATGCCTGGGAGATCCCAAAGGTGATCCAGCACAGCCTCTCCTTCTTCCAGCACATGTTTTCGACCCTGGAACTTCGGTTTCTCATAAAAAATCCAACTGTAATAATGATATCATGAACTGAGTTGTTGTTGTTAGGTAAGACCATCCTTTACAACACATTTGCTGGAAAGCTCATGATCGAGTTCTTCGTATCAAGTCAACTATCACACCTTGCTTATGCTGTCCCTCAGTAGTCACGTTCACCTTGGATAAATAGGGGACTTGTACTTCTGTGCTTTAAAAGTAAAATACACAGTTTTCCTTCAGGATGTAGCCTAAGATAACTTTAACTCTATAAAAATACAGCTAAAACACAGTGGAAATAAACAGCCTTACTTTACCAGAAACAATATATCAAACCATGTCCTGTTCAGGCAGATACTATCCAAGGTGTAAGACATATACATCCTAATAATGGTATCCAGTATTCCTCAGGATGTGAAAGAAACATATGGAAAAGCAAACATATGGAAAAGGCTGCCTCAAATCTGCATATGTGACACACGTGACTACTACTGTTGACAGTGGGATACAGTCACTGTAAGCACCACCATCTAAATTCCAGTGCAACAACTGACATGGTCCCAGCCCCAGCAAATTGAGAAACACTTGCAAAATCTATCTTAAAAGTACTTATCCATCTGCATTCGCACATTCCTCTACATGCTACACTACAAACAGCAGCCGAGCTTGCTCATTTTATCGTGCTTTTGCAACAGCTTCCATACAATGAAACTGAAGTGTAAAAAACCCCATCGTTTTCTTTGGCATGCACAGGCTTCCAGTGATGATTATGCCTGTACCGTCTCAGCACTTTCAGACAAGAAGTCTGAACTTACTTGTGGGTTCTATTAGAAACTTCCTGTTTGGAAGCTAGTTCCTGGAAAAAACAATAGATTGGGTTTTTTTTTTGTACTGCAGCATTTGAAGCCCTGTTTCATGCGTTTTTCATGGGTATCAGTCTAATTAGAATGAAAGAAAAAGACACTCTTGTAGATCAGATGTGTCATAAATAAAAGAAACAAAAATACTAGAGAAACACATATACACAGTCTTCTGAAAAGACTCTATTTAAATATGACCTGGATTTCTTACCATCCTCTAATTATCCTAAGTAATGCTCCAACGGGACAGATCCAGGACGTGGTATCTAGCACATCAGAGTGAACTTCTTTTTTACTTTTGTCACCACAAATATCATAAATAATAATCTGAAACAACATACAATGCATATGAATGAAGGCCCACTTCAACATACAGTGTAAAGACATTTTTTGCTTTGTGGCCGCTCAACTGATACGCTACACGTTTTCATCTTTTATGAAACACTCTACTGAACTGTAACAGTAGTTGCTGGCAGAAATAGTTTTTAAGAACACAATCTCATTATCAGCATGGACAAGCACGTTCACCATTAAAATACAGAAAACTAGACTAACAACTTCAGATGATTTCCATTCAAAAATTTTGGTATAACACATGATTCTATGTATCATATTGCTCTACGTGACACAAATTCTACTTACCTTTCCCGGTCTTGGATTGTATTTGAGACTTGCCCTGTCAATAAGGTTCTGAAATTAAAAGGACATGGAAAACACCTATTAACACCTACAACAGTAGCACAAAGCACAGCTAGGTTATTCCGAGTCCACCATTCCTATAAATGTATGCAATCATCGCTAGCAGAAATAATCAAGATTTGTTTCATTATCATTCAGAGTTGGTTTAAACAGTTTAACAGAATCAAACAATCAGCAGAAAGCAACAAGTGCTAGATTACCCTTCCCAATAAATATCATGCCTTAACAGTTGCAAAACCAACGGAGATCTCTAACACAGACTGAAATACTCCCAACACCATGAAAAGACTTTCTTCTTCAGTTACACATTCGATCTATGCAGTATTTTTTCATTTCTAAATACTGGAAGAAGTGTTTCCATACCCTCATCTGCCGTTGCTTTAAATAAGGTAAAAAGCAAATGCTAATATAAAGAAGCAGCTACATTACTTAGTTGCCAACTGAGCTATAAATTTATAGCAGACTCCATGATGAGACAATCAAGTAGTCCAGTAAACAGTTTTTTGGGGGGGGACTATATAGCTCTACTAATGTCAGAAATGCAAGAAATGAAAGATCAATTTTCATACAAAAGGCAATTCCATCATCTTCAGGTTGAAATGTCCATAACATGGACAAGTCTGTGTTTTGCTATTATACAGACTTGCTATCATGCATATTTTGCTATTATATTTTCTGTTTGCATCTTTGGTTTTACAATTCACTTTCAACTGTGTGCTGAACCAAGAGTACCATGTTTTAAAATTTATTTTATCAGAAGACTTTTTTCTTTTTAAACTGTGATCTTAAACAGATCATTGCTTTTGTTTATGATAAAAGAATTAACCTTAAAGAGAGAGGAATGAGAATAGGGAGACAGCAATTCTGAATCTGGGCTAATCACTTTGATTATTGATATTGCGTGACATGGTATCTTACCGCTGACAGTTCTCCCAGTTTTGGCATCGTGTTGTCTTGACACCAGTGAATCTTGGGCTGCAACATATCCTGGAGAAGACTTCCAAACCTGGTCCCCTTCTCGGAGGAGCAATTGCTGGCAGATTTCAAATACTGGTAGTATACACTTGTAGGAGGACAGGTGACAGAAGCATCAGCTTTCTGTGAAACTGGCTTACAAGGTGTGTGACTGGGAGAAGCCGCATCTGGAAACAGTTCTGGTTGTTCCTTAGAGTCAAGTTGTTCTTTCAAAAGAAAAACTGATTGTGCAGGAACCAAAGATATATTTTCATCATTTGATGGAAGGGTTGTTTCTAAGTTTCCTCTCCACTGACTGGAAGGACAGTCATCTCTCTCAACATCAGGCATGTTTTCTTCATATGATGATTCTTCCTCTTCCTCCTCCTCCACTCCCTCCTCCTCGTCTTTACTGAACTGAGTAGTAAACTGTAAGCGCTCAGAAACTGACTGGAGAAGGGAGAGCACAGAAGCGTGGTCAGTGTTAGCTTTAGATATTCCATTAGAATGGCCTTCCGGTGACACGTCTGTGGACAGTAAGTCTTCTTGGGAGCTGTCGTCTTCGTATATAGGAGACAAAGAGAAAGGATAGACTTTATAGCGCTTCGCCTCCACACTCAGAAATGACTCCGAGCTACCTGTTGCTTCATTCAACTTATCCTTCCCATAAAGACAGACTGGCTCATGTTTATCCTTTGCTCTTTCACACATTAGATGATCTATATTACCTGAAGGCAAATCAGAAGACAGTGAACCAGTTTGCATATCATCAGTTGAGACAGATTTGTTCTCAGTTTGAAGGGCACCTTCATAAATGATAGTAAAAGAACTGTTTTCCCACTGTTCAATCAATGGAGAAAAGGTCAAAAGATCTGTCGATTCCTTCATGCCATCGCTGCAGTCCAGACCATTTTCTTCAAGCTGATCATTTCTCTTCACATTCTGATCATTTATCTGCTGCAAGTTCTCATTACTTTGGGTAAAGACTGTGTTGAGGCAGATTTTCCCTTCATGGTCCTCTCCAAAACCAGACAATTCAGGTACAACGACCTGTGTGTTTAATCTAATATTAACCTCTGCTACCTCACTTGCTTCTTCTGCTAGTTCCTCTTTACTCTCCACTACCTTTGAATCTTCTAAGGTTGCCTTTACTTGTGCAGGTACTTCTGTCAACTCTCTTCTGCAGTGTTCATCCAGACTGTACTCCGCACTGCTTTCCAGAGATCCCCGAGGACTGCTTTTGTCTTTGGATTCACTCTGTGTGCCAATACATTCCTTATCAGGCATAGAAGATGGCAAATTAACATGTACAGTTGGCAGCAATGTGCACTCTTGCATATTAGAATTATTGCATGAATCTTTTAACTGCATTGACAAAAGCATGTCTTTAGTCACAGTAGCATCCCTGTGTATTAAATGTAAAGATCCATCAGATTTTCTACTAGCTGCTGATACTCCAGCTTTGCCACACATCTCTGCTGCAGCCAGATGGTCACACACTTTTCTATCATGTCTTTCTTTTGCTAGTGTAGTAACATCTATTTCTGGCCTTGCTGAACTATCAGTGGGTAGAAAACCACTTGTTTCACATGTAAATGCATTATTTGGCATCTTTTCATCTCTTCGAGGTCCATCTATACCATTTTCCACACTATTTGAAGGCAAAGGCAGATCTGACAAATCTGCCTTTTCACAGTTTACAGTTAAACTCTGAGTTTCCTTCTTCTCTGTTGGTTCCTGTGTTTTGGCAGGTAACTTCACATCCAGCTGTAAATTCTTCGGCGTATCAGCCTTAGGTTTAGGCTCCACTGTTTCAGAAGGCCTTTTACTCTCACTGTCTTGCCACTGACTGGAAGCAAGTTTTTGTTTGGCTGAGTTAATGACTTCATCAATTGTTTCTTTTGCTTTTAGTGCTAGTGCACTACGCAGATCAATTTTATCAGGGATATAAGACAGCATTTTTTCATCTTGACTATTTGTATCCACTGTTTCATTTCCTGTAAATGAAGATGAGCCTCCTCTACTGCCCTCATTAAAATATTTTAATGACTGCACAGCTGACTGGATTTCTTCTGCTTCTAGCTGTACAGCTCCAGCTTTGTGATCATTCAGAACATCTGTATTTATTAAACTATCCTTGCTCCCACAAAGTTGGCAGACACCAATGGCTTGTTTTGCTATTATTTCTTCTATAGCCAAGTGTAAAACCAAGTTTACTATTTCCTCAGCTTTTTGAAACAAAATAGCAGCATCTTGGAATTGAGCATGTTCTTGTCCCTTCACATTGGTATCTTCCCATACTTTCTGAGAACATAACTCAACTGATGCTGTCGGTGTGGCAGCTGTTTGATTATCCGTCACAGAAGGGGCTTCTGAGATAGCAGAAGCGCAGTTACTGAGAATCACCTGTCCCAGAGCATTTCTGCAAACATTCTCAGTACAGGCTGGCTGGGACACCATTTTCAAAGATTTCACAGGACAGATGGGTGATGGCAATGCCTCTGCCAAGACGCTGCTGTCAGCCTGTTGTGCGAAGGAAGTCCCCTCTGCCCCAACACTAGCTCTGTGACTGGAAGAATCACTGTTCCCCTGAGCAATGCCCAACATTTCCAAGGAAGAAATGGAAAGGTCAGAGGCTTCTCTGCATCCCAAAGTAGGTGATGTGGGCCTGGGGATGCAAACATCCCCTGCGTTTACTCCAGCAGCAGAGTTATCAAGCATAGTTGAAGTAAGTTCAGGTTCCAGAGAACCAACCAGGCACAAAGCGCTCGGTTCTTCTGAACAAAGCGGCACTTCGGTCATCCTGTCGTCAGGGATTATTCTCCTAGACTCAGCAGCTGGAAAACCAAAGCTGTCCTGTTCAGAAGCAACCTGGCCATTTTCAGAGTTAGTGGCAGGAGAAGGCATTTTTCCTTGCTTGTCAGATGAAGAATCAAGTACTGTGGGCGATATCATAGGCTTATTACTGTTTCCCTTCTTGGAAGAAAAATTAATACACCTATCTTTAGAAATGGGTGGAGATTCCGAAATTATGTCTACGTCAACATTTTCTTCATAGATGAAGGCAGAATGATTGGTCAAAGGTCTTCCTCCATATCTCAAGGCAGAAAGAGAAACCTCCAGACTTTTTTCTTGTGATTTAGAAATATGAGAAGAAAGATCACAGATGCAATCTTTACACTCAGAGGGAGCAAGAGTAGCCTCAGTCACACCAGTTTTGCCAATTTTAGGAGCAGAAGTATGATCATCTGACCTATCAACAGAGATTAGTGGGCAAGGTGCAGGCTTTGCTGCGTTATCTTCTGCAAATATAACTAATGTCTCGGCAGGAATGTCTTGAGCAGTTTCAACGGAAAGAGGACCACAGCTGTGGAGAGGAATAGCCCTTTCTGAGAGGTTCATCTCGATAGGTTCAAAGGATTTGCTCTTCTCATATTCAAGATCAGGATGAGAAAGTGTCTCTCCTGAACCTTTTAACCTGACTTCTCCTTTCTCTATAGTTTTATTTTTGAACTTGCAACTAGGATGAAGAGAATCTGAGCAACAGTCTTCAGTTTCAAAAGATGACTCGTGAGCTACACAGAGAGGTTCTGTCAGCTCATCGAAGTTAGATTTCACACTTTCACACCCATGTAAGCATGACAACACACTGGCAGAGTTTTCCACTGCAGCCTCAGATAAAATCTTAATTGTTTCCACACCCTCAGTTTCTAGACAAGGTAAAGTGGTCTGCTGTGTGGCAGTATCCTTAGAATTCTGCACGTGGATTAACTGGTGACCATTTTCTACATGCATTGGTTTCCCTAACTCATGCAGTTCTTCATTACAAGTCCCCCTGTCCATGACTCCATCGTTTTTAACAGATGAGACTGAATTAGTTATATTAGATTTTTCTTCTTTGGACTCCATGCTAAGCAAAGTGGGTATTTGTTCATTAAATGGCAAAAGAACAGTAGAAAGAGAGTTCTGTGAATTTTGCTCTCCGGCAGCTGCAACGATTTTCCGGGTATCATTTTTTCTTGGATCTCTATTTTTATTTGCACTACTTGTATGCTGATCTGCTTGCTGCTGAACTGTAGTGGTACTGGAATGAAGCTTCTGGGCATCCGATATTAGCTCTGAGTGACTATCCATTTGGTGATTACAGCAGAATTCTCCTTCATTCACCTGTAGTTCTTCATTAATTGTCTTACTTTTTGATTTGAGTGAGTGTAAACAATCATCCTGCATTTCTTTTGTGGACTCCTTATTAACTGGTTTACTATGACTGTCTTCTTTAACAAAGTTAGAAGTGGCCTTTTTGTCCGACTGAAACAGAGCATCTGCTTCTCCTAGCAGTCCATCTTCTTTTCCACCCAAATCATTTGCAGAACTCATTTTAAGGGAACTGGCAACCTGTGAAGCGGAATTGGTTAGGATCTCATTGTTTCTGCTACTAGATGACAATAATGAATCTAGCGAGTACGTTCTTCTAACTTTTCCTGCAGCTAAAGCAGGCATGTATTTTAAGTCTATCTCATGAGACGATTCGGTAGATGAAGATGTGGCCTTTGCAGTTATTTCATGTTTACTGCTACCCAAGCAATGCCAGGCTTCCCCAGACTTCTTTCTCATTTTAACTGTGGAAGAATTTACTGTAACTTCCTCTTCGTAATCTTTACCTCCATCTCCATTTTCATTTATTAAGTGTCCTGATTTTGGAGAGACAGTTGCTTGAATTTCTCCATTTTTTTTGACCATTGAAACATTTATGTTCTCAGTACTTTCTTCTCCTTTTTCAGCCACTTCTGACTGATTCTTCAGTAGCTGCCTAATCCTTGCAGAACCTCGATATGTTGCGTAAGTGACTGCGGGTACTTCTGGCTTCCGTTGCATCTGCCTGTAACAAGGATGATCATTATCAGCACAAGGCAGACTGCCCAAATACCTAGTATGATAATAAACGTTAAAACAAATTGTAGGTGATGTACAAACACTGTTTTGCTCCATGGGTTATCACAAACTGTAGACTGCATGCAACGCTCTTTCTCCTTTTTCTGCTCTTCCTACATATGGGCTTGTCTGACAAATGACACAAAGACTACCTTTTACTGAAAAAGCCAACTTAAACTGTAAGCAAAAAGCAGATGTTGCTATAAACAACTTCCATCATTTGTTTTCTATTAGACAATTACTATTGCAAATGCCACTTCAAGTCAACATTTGGAGCAACAGAAAATAAGTATACTTTTGTGAGGATGTTATATCCTACTAAAGCAGGCCTATACTTTAAGATCAAAAAAAAAAATACTCTGCTAACGTCCATTAAAATACTGAAATGAAATTTATTACCCAAGCGCTGAACATATTGTTAAGGAACAGAATGAAGAGAAGCAAACCATGTAGAGAAAAGAAAGTATGCAACAGGGGATGCTTTCTTAACCACAGTGTAGTATAAAAAGAGTGAATGGAGATCAGGTAAGAATGACGACTGCTTGAACCCTGGAAGAGATACTAATCAGAGAAGCCTAGGAATGTGACAAGGAATTGGCAGATCTAGCCATTCATTGGTCTTAAATTTAGTACTAAAAAAAGTGAATGCTAAAACTAACAAATGAAAGAATCATCATGGAAAAACTGTGATCCTGATCTTTCACTGTTCTTTCTGATAATATTAAGTTCAGAGCCTGCCACTTTCAATTTTCTGAAGAAGTTGACAGACATCACAAATACCCCCCTTTCTAATGCTTTTTTTCTTTCCTCTCATTTTTTTGTTACTTAATCCTCACAAAAAAACAGACAATGACAACATCAATGTGACTGTCGGCTTTTCAGTTTTTCACTTTAGGACAAAGCAGACACTCAGACGGTGCTAAAACTGCATTCTGCCTCAGCCTCCGCTAAAACTAAGAAACAACTCTTTCAAACGCTTATCGAGCCCAACCCTACGTCAGACTCCTTTCAAAAGAGTCTCTCTCGAAAAAAAAAGTGTTACCTAAGATTTTGATTTCCAGTATAAAAGCATTGCAATAGGCAAAAAACATTTTTAAAAGCTCTTTGTAGCTTACTATTAGTTCACGTTTATTGACAAGTTATTACAGCTCTAGAGTTGAGAACAAATAGAAATAGAATATATATTTACTAACGAAAACAAACAGCAAAATAAATAGTTTGGTTTATTTGAATATCACTTAGCAACTGTAACTTCAAATACTGTCTGTACGGATTCTGAATATGTATTCTCTTGACAGGTAGAAAAGGATATAAAAATAGAGTGGATTTACCAATCTGAAATAGAATCTCCTTTCTGCCAAGGTTTTAGAGGGCCACATTCTAATTTCAGTATTAATTTTATTTTGAAGAAGAAACTTAATGTTATTTAAAATGGCAAATAAACTCCCTCCTTGTGCAGTATTTGCACATACAAAGAGTACAAGTGCACTAAAAGTGAAATTATTCATATACATAAACATTAAAGCAGATATATAAAGACATTTATATACATGTTTTACATTACAAGGTATATTTAGGCTAATGCCAAAAGACACGAATATGGGAATGTAGTCACTGTGACAACCTGAAAATGAAGTTTATATTGTGATTAAATTCACAGTAATCTCTGAAGAAGGCTACAGCAGAATCTCCGTATAGGGCTTATTAAGCTCTAGAGGAAACAGCAAAGTGGTGTGTCTCCCAAGCATTTGCAGAGTTAGATGCCTGCATCTAGTCTTCTATACCACTAGCTTGTCTTCCAGAGATACCAACAGCAGTAGCTGTAAAACATCGCACACACTATTTGTAAGTTGCTGTCTTCAGCATTACGGCTCTTGAAAGAAATACACTTTTCAGTGAAAGAAAATAAAACACAGCTGGAGAAAGGGCAGTAGAGGAAAAAAGGGATTAATATTTTTTTTTCTTTGAAAATTACATTATTTTCCACCTTCTCACAGAAATTTTATTACAGATTAGAAAATATTTTCCAAAGCTTCAGAGATCCTAAAAATCTCAACAGAAGGGTATGCTGAGTTCTGTAGCACACTATATTCACTTAGCATCTTAGTCATAATTAAAAAAAAATCTTAAGAATGTAAAACCTGATTATGCTCTCATTCAGAATTAACCTGAGTAACCTCCCCTATTTCAGTTAAGTAAAAATGTGGTAATAAAAGGTTATAAACAATCACTATTAAGCTTCCCCAAAATCCACCATCTCTCCCACACTTTGGCCAACGTCAAAAATAAAGTTGGTCTACAGTTGTTCTGAATGCAGACAAAAAAAATATCTGAAGAAAACAAACAGAACACAGGTTGTCACCACTTCTCCAAGCAAGTTTTATGGATTCCTGAAAACGGAAACTGTAACAATACGTGTTTGAAGTGGGGACATTAATCTTATTTAGCAAGGTACCAAACACTCATTTTCACCCAAACTAAGGCAATATTTTGAATAAACAGCTTGATGACAATTTTACTGAGTGTCTTTCATTTAATGGTTGACATTCTGTCTGATATACAGTGGGAAGACTTCAGAATTTATCTATGAACATGTGGTGAGAACTAGTGCTCTGACACAAACCTGGAAAACGTCTCCCATACCCTACTTGGCCTTCAAATTTCTCCCATGAACTCAGCGATTTGTAAATCCAAAGCATCCAGAAATAGGATGAATAGGTTAATTTACAGAAGATTGCCTACACAGGGATGACAAGGAGCACCTGGCAATGATGGAGTATCTTGAGCCACAGATCCAAACATATAGTTATACCATTTATTACACATGGTCGGGCAAAACAAATGCATTCAAAAGCTTCTTTTTGCCTGTGTGGCACTCTTTATGGTTTCTCCCAATTCTTTTTGCTATCTGTTTGTGTTATGATGGAATTTTATGCTCTGATCAATCAATTTGAAGTGTGAGGAGGACTCAGAGCAATCTGCCCCACAGAGCTCCATGCACAAAGGCAATCCTGACTAGTGCTGGCTATGGCACCGTTTCAGCTGCAAAGCCTCACCCTGCAAGGTGGCCTCTGCCAGCATCTCCTAACGCACAGCTTTGCTTTCCTACAGACTTGCCTCTACAGTGGATGCTAATTTTAAAAGGTAACCTACCTTTCCTTCAGACACGGCAACTTCAGGATATCTGACCTTAGATAAAGAATTTGCTGCTCAGCATATTATAAAAATCTTGCCAACAGACCTTTTAGTCCTAATGCATTTACTTTCAGAGAACATAGAAGTGTGTTCAATCTGAATGCTCACACGCAACAAGACATTTAAAAAATGAAAATCCATGCTCCTCTGCGGCAGCAGCAACTCAGCTGTAAGTCTTATGAAACGCATTAGAAGCAGGCTGTGTCACAGAAAAATTCTTGCAAGTGTCACTAGAGACTTGGTTCACAGATACTTAAAGTAGCAATTCATTTCTGATTGCCAAAGGAGTATGTCGGTTCCGAATGTACCTTAAAAACCCTTTGCAAATTTTTTTTTTTTCAACTCCTATGAGGATACAGATGAAAGACTGATTATACACAAAACCCAGAGTGTATTCTGTCACGTATTTCAAACACTGGGAGATTCCTTCTTTCCCTTCTTCACAGGAAGCTATTCAATTCCCTATAAAGCCTTAATTCAGGTTCACACAAGACTGTTCGACAGCAACAAGAGAGGACGTCAACATGAGTTACCTTCAATTTGTCAAAAGAAGGTGCTTGTAGAGATCTAATTTATTCTGAAAGAGAAGGGGGCTTAACTCAAGGAGGACAAGGGAACATCTTCTGACATCTCATATGACAGATATCTTGCGTAACTTGCCCAAAAAGGAGCATTAGTTGTAAAACAATATTGTTGGTTTTGAAGCCTCGAAGCAGGAGGAAACCTACTACCTTGTATGCCTCATCTCAGTACGTCCACAAAGACGACATTGTTTACATCTTTTTCAAGTGTATGTCATCATCCAATGTTCACGTTTGTACTACACAGTAATGCGGTATGCAGACAACCCTAGATGATTTCCAGAAAGATGGAGGCAGATCATACAGCGTGATACAGCACTACATGCGCACAGTATCTCAGATCCCCAGGCAGCACGGCTCTATTCACACAGCATGGCACACACAGCAGGAAGCCCTTACAACCAGCATCACTGCTTAGCTCAGGGCTCACTACCTCAGGATCAGCAGTGCCCAAGTGTAAGCACAGCGCTGGCTGGCCTGTTTCTGCAACATGCAATACTTCATTCTCCCAGGATATGCAATGGCCACTTTTTCCTCACACCTAGCTCTTCCAGATATCTTTTCCCCAGCCTAGCAGTATCCTGCTTTTTCAGGCACACACATGTGTGTTTCTCCTAATCTCCTATCACAGATCCCTCAAAGGAGCTCCCAGAGTAGAGAGATCTCCAGGCTACAGGCGGAAAGCCACTGACCTAAAATCAGTATGTCTCTTTTTTTAGTTGTTTTAAAATTATGCTATTGTTTAATTTTTTCCACTTAGCTTTTTGTCTACTGCATACTTAACTGACAACATTTTTAAAAATTATGTTAAGGTCCTTTGTCTAGAAATAACTGTCTTCAAATCACTTTGAAAAATCTTCTGGCGGAATCCAACTTAGCCAGCCAGCTGGTTTCTACACTCACGTCAGATCTTCATAAATGGAAATAATAAAAGGCTTATTGAAAAAAAGACACTGTGGGCTAACTGAAAAGTTGCCATGTACAACTTAGATGAAAGAAAATTATTTTTTAGCCAGAGGGGATAGCTTCATGATTTAAATCTGAAGTTTGAAATACTCAGTGTCCCGAGACTTCACAATGTATATTTCAAAAGGTCAAAAGTTAGGTTAAACAAAAAGATTTGCACACAGTTGATTCTGCAGGAAATTTCAAAGCTCATATTCCATAAAGA